CTGGTTCAATCCTTAGGGTGTTGGAATGCATGATTCACCCTGGCGCGGCCCAGATACACTACAACGAGTAAACTCAATAAAGAGGACATAGACAACAGACGACGGCTTGCCGAACACCACACTGGCGCCATCTTGGAATGTTGGATTATGACAAGCATGGAGAAGGAAGTGTAATGCGGGCTCTAGAGTTGGTGACCGCAATTCTCAACAAAGAGGGTTACCATAGTATTCTCCAGAGACATGCCATACCATCTGGCTTGAGACTAATTGGACAGCCCTTCATACAACAACAGGACAATTATCCGAAACACGTATATATATATATACACGGTAGTGTATATATATATATACACTACCGTTCAAAAGTATGGGGTCGGTACGATTTTAAATACTTTTAAAAGAATTCTCTTCTGCTAACCATGGCTGCGCTTATTTGATTAAAAATACAACAAAAATCAGTTATAGTATTAAATATTATTCCAGTTTAAATCAGCTGTTTTCTGTGTGAATATATAGTAAAGTGTAATTTATTCCTGTGATCAAAGCTGAATTTTCAGCATCACCAGTGTCAGTGTCTTCAGTGTCAAATGATCCTTCACAAATCAGTATAATATGAGGATTTGATGCTCAAGAAACATTTATTATTATTATCAATGATGAAACAGTTGTTGGTCTGTCAGTTGTACAGTTTTTTTTTTTTTTAGGATTCTTTGATGAATAGGAAGTTCAAAAGACTTTTGTAACATTATAAATGTCTTTACTGTCACTTTCGATCAAATTAATTATTCCTTGATAAATAAAAGTATTGATTTCTTTCCTCCAAAAAATAAAAATAAAATTCTCACTGACCCCAAACTTTTGAACGGTAGTGTATATACAGTATGTGTTTGTGTGTGTGTGTGTGTGTGTGTGTGTGTGTGTGTGTGTGTGTGTGTGTGTGTGTGTGTATGTATATGTGTATGTATATATATATATATATATATATGTATGTGTATATATACACTGTATATATATATATATACACACACACACACACACACACACACACACACACACACACACACACACACACACACACACACACACACACACACACACACACACACACACACACACACACACATACATACAAATGAAGACTAAAATGTACTGTTTAATGTTATTTCTTAGCATTATTTTTCTTTATTCATTTTCATAATCATTTTCATACTTTTTCAATGTATTTTGTGAAGTCAGAGTATGTTTGTACATATGTGCTGATGAGAGATCTGGGATGAGTTATATTTTGCTTAGAGGTATGTGTGCAATGTCACTGAGCAGAGATGTTCCAATGATGATGATACATTAAATGTGTACATGTTCTTTACAAGGAAAGGAATGTTTCAACTGATGCAAATGTACCCCTAATGTATACACAGAGGGATAGTGGATTGTACCATGTGTAAGCATGAGGTATCCATTCCATTTTTAAACATAAGCAACATGTTTCAACACCTTACGAGGACGTTGAAAGTCGCTCAGTAGTGTATTTAAGCTCAATCCTTACTGTACCACCTCAGAAAACAAAGACATGACAGGGTGAGAGGAAGGAGAAATAAAGGCATGAGGGGGTGAGGGAGGAGAAACACCAAGAAACCATTTACAGCTGGCATGATGGGGTGAGAGGATAAAGAAATGGGGAACAGAGAAATCTGGAATGAAGACCTCACCTTTATTAAGTTTTTTTTTTTTTTTTATGTTTTTCAAGATCATGTTATGCTATTTTATTTTGAGAAGACTCTAAAATGCTAACTGATGTTTATTGTTCAAAGCATCCTTCCAAATAATTTCTAAATGTAGTTTCATTATTTCTAATTTTATGAATTTCCAAATTTAGATCTATTTTTTTTTTTAGATTTCTAAACTTATAGAAAACTTGTAAACTTGAAAAGTAAACTTAAAATCCACCAAAATTTTCCCTATTGCCAAAATATTGTTAGAGTCACACTTGCTTATTGTATCCTCCTTATCTCCTTTCTTCCTATTGAAGTTATAAACTGAACCACTATTTTATTTATAAATTTTACCTCTATTTAATTTCCTCTTTCTTATTGTATCCACTATTATTATTAGTGTTGTTGTTCATCAACAATTCTATACTCGTAGTTAGACAAAGGCTTCTGAGCCATTTGTGGATCCGATCTCCTTTTCCTCCCTTTTTCTCACGTCTTTCTTGTTCTGTTCTGCTTTATTCCATCTTATTCTTCACATTTGTAGGGAACAAGCCTGGAAGAACCATCAATCGATTCTAAAAGAAAGAGAAAGAAAATCTTTCCAAAGAAACAAATCATTAGGTATTTGATTTTTAATAAAACCATCTCTTGTTCTCCATACCTCCCTGCATTTGTAAACGCAATTAAAATTGACATCTTATCCAAGATCAATTAACAGAGACAATCGTTGAGCAACCGTCGCAAAGCATCCCTGCAGTAAGCGGTCCAACTGAAAGGTATGTGGTGTCAATCCTGTCAGACTAAGAAAAGAGGTATCAACATTATTATTGTATTAATTTCCTCGCAAACATAAACAATAATATTGTTTACTTTTTTGGAAATTTTCTGATTTTCATTGATAGGATGTATTTACTGAAAAAACAATTCTCCCAGTTAAGAATTATTTTTTATTATTCTTTTCATTGAAATTGGTTTTAAACCTTTCTCTTTTTTCCCTTACTCAGTTGGTTGACAAAGTCCTCACATCACTAGTTGAAAACAGCTTTCATTGATAAAAAATATTTATAAAATATATTTCTCCCATTGGAAAAATAAGTTTCTTTCCATTGAGATTTGTTCACATCATTAACTCTCTGGGGTCGGCGGTATTGCCGGCAATACCAGCTCACTTTTTTCCTTATCAGTGCAAAAGAGACTCAAATTACTCTGTTGATTTTGATCTTACATATAAGTGTTATACATCATTCAATCCTGTTAAGTTTGTATTTTTTTTGTGGAACCTCACAATAAAAACAAAGTGTCGTGCTTTTCGCCAAATAAAGAAAAATAAACATGATGCGCGTTCTGCGTTCTCTCTGTCAGTGAAGTCCATTCTGAAACGCGTCCGAAAAATGAACTAAGTCAATACTTGCCACAGAGACACGAGAGATGTGTCTTTTTAAAGCTTGTATTCTCTTCTTCTAAATTAAGTAATTTATTAAATAAATAAATATTTCCAGTTTATGTAATCCGTTTGAAACCAAGGAGAGGTACAGTTTTTTCGTTCTCCCTTCATTATTTTTAATGAGCCGAGGCCGCCACGCCCCTAGCGCTTTCACATGGTAAATAGGTGATCTAACGTTATGCATAGCACACGCCCAGCGATCAATGGCATAAAAACACGAAGTTTCTTCACTGATAGATTCATTGCGTTTTGAGGATGGCACGGTACTCCGACAAAGAGGCCCTTCAGATGATTCTGGACAGCGAGGAAGAATTCACTTTTCCTCAGAGGAAGATTAGCCTATAACTCGGACGAGAAACGGCTGCATTTTGAAGAACGAATTGATCCCGCGCCGAGGATAGGCCTACAAGTTCGGAGTAAGTTGTTTAGTGTTTTATAATTTCTTTTCTGATCGTATAGAGCTCAAATGAATTTTCAGACTATATTTTGCCTATAGCTTTTGACATCTTACAGAAAAGATTGCCTCACAATGGCCCTCATTTATCATTCTTGCGTAGAAACGGGCGTATATGTTGGCGTAAGATTATGCTTACACTCCTCTCACCGCCTGATTTATGAAGCTGTGCGTACCTTTGAAATCTAGGTGTACGCAATACCTGCCCTTGATAAATCCCGCGGCTGAAAACGATCGTCATTAGAATAACACGCCCCTATATATTCAAGTCTCCGCTTCCCCCACGCCTTCATTTTACGCCATGGACACACGGAAGACGGCAAAAAAAGTCCACACAACTGAAGGAAAACATATGCCTACAAATCAAATGCTTTGGTAAAATCACACAAATTAAACATTGAAGTCCATGTTGCACAAAAATAAACACTGAAGTTTATAATTACTTTGTTATTGTTGTTGTTGTTTTTTACAGTGGGTCATAATACATCATATATTTTAGTTTGTCTGCGTTTTGTGGTGTTAGGAAATGTTTTTCTGCGCATTTCCGCACTAACTCAAAACGTGCGTACATGTACACCACCTCCTGAGCTGGTGTAGGATTTGAGCGTGCCGTACGCCAAAGTCCATGTTGATAAATCTCAAAGTCACCGTGGTTTTGGGTGTACGCTGGAAATTTGGTGTACGCACTTTTGATAAATGAGGGCCAATATCCCTAACATTCGCTCGTGTAAACTTTTTAAATGTGATATTTCTCTCTAAACATATTTGTATATTAAATATATAGTTTTGATTAGCTTATGACACTGATTATCATGCTAAAATACTGCCTTATGCGTTATGTATTTTGTTTGCGAATAACTGCATGTTTAGGTATAGCCTATTGATTTAGTGAAATATATTTCAGCCTCCGGTAAAATATGTGATACTGTCTAAATACAATATATTTTTTATATAAAAATGTTGAGTTTTGGTTAGCCTATGACACTACTTATGCTAAAATAGTGCCTTATGCGTAATGTAGCCTATTTTGTTTGCGAATAACTGCTTAGGTTATCTAACGAGAAATATATTTCAGGCTCCGGTAAAAGAGGTCTAAATACAATATATTTTTTATATAATTAAATGTTCAGTTTTGGTTATGACACTAAATCATGCGTAAATAACTGAATACAGGTGTAAATGTTTGAAATGTAGTGATGTGTCGTTCGCAAACGATCCGTTCATTGCGTGTAGTCCTATCACTAAATGCGTGCGGTCTATATGGGCCATCAACAGATATTTCTCCGTCCCATGGCCCATCAACAGATATATACATACATTGTGCATCCATATCCATTAATTGTCCATCAGTTTACTTTGGATAATGTATGCGAACAGTTTTTATTTTTAGGAATGTGTCTGCATCATGCTCTCCTTCGCCAGCACCTCGCAGAGGGACACGCAGGTGTCGTTCAGTTCTCAGTGCGATCGAGAATCATACTAAGTGCACAGACGTAATATTTTACAGATGAAATTTAGCCTAATTGTGTTTACATCGTCATAATGTAGGCTACCTATTCTTGTGTGAAATTACAAAAAAAAAAAATATCCATGGCAATTAGTGATTGATAATGAAAATAATACAGTTTATTTGATTGTATTATCAGCATGCACATGCTTTTTTCTTTTTTATAACAGATGTGGCAATGAACACGTCCATCCACCAGTTCCGAAGAGAGCCAAGGCAAACAAGCAGGCAAGCAACAGGCAGTCCACTTTTTTATATATAAAAAAAAAAAACAAGTTTGGTCTTTTTATGTTTTTTTTTTGTTAAGTGATAGTAATGACTTTAAGTCTTTACGTTCTTAGGAAAGATTTCTATTTTGAATAAATGCTGTTCTTTTTAACTTTTTATTCATCAGTGAATCATTCTTAGTTCAGGCTGCCTCACAGCACCTTGATGGGCCATTGGGGGAGTGTCTTGCCTTCCCACCCAGGTGTAAATCACATTAATATTCATGGCCATTCACACTCCCACGCATACAGCAGTGCTGACCAAAAACTGACGTAAGAAATTTAAATCATTATATTGTTGTTTGTGAAAGAGTGGTCAGAATGATTTTCACTTCATTTTGAAGTAAAAATTCTAGCCTACAAGAATAGTAACTCAAAAGTCTTGTGGACAATTATTCCGTATGTGTTAAATGGCCTTATTGCGGTGACATTTTCTTTCCCCAAAACGTACTAACCACGCATAATATTTTTTTTCTATAAAATGCAAACATGTACATCCATTTTGCTCACATATTATTGTAGCAGAGTTTGTGCTGAATACAGCAAATTTATATGTTGGCAAATGGTATGTTTTAAGTAGCTGAAATAAGCACAAATGTCAGGGCATGTCAAAACATCTCAAGGGCCCCAAAAACACCTCAGACCCCAGAGGGTTAACCTACCTGCCTACACTGAGACCAACACTTAGTCATCACTACACTTCCCTATTGATGTGCAATCACTGAAATGACACTTAGCTGTTCCACCACATAAAGGCTTAGTTCAAACCCAGTTCAACCCAAACCCTACGGAGGGCCAAAATATCCAGGCATACCTCCGAGATATCGACTTCCACCTAGGAGGTGAGACCTCATGTGACTGACAAAGACAGGTTATACCTCCTCAGATCCACATCCAGTCCAGAGGTACGCAGCTTCCTGGACCGCCAGCCTTTTTACATAAAGTCAAACTACCAGCTACTACGCGAGACACTGATTAAAGAATTTACAAGACCAGAGTCTGAACATGGACTGTTAATCGCCTTGGAAACCAAACAAGGTCGACAAGAGACTCCCCAAGCCTACTACAACCGCTTATGACAAGCCTACTTTGGTGCATATAACAAACCTGAAATTGAAGAGGATGTGAACTTCAAAACCCTTTTCCTGAGAAACCTGCACCCTGTATTGAGTCATCTTGGTGTCATGGCCTGCCCTAGCACGATGAAAATCCAACAGCTACGTGACCTGACACAAGGCCTACAACAAACAAAAGATGGCCTCAAGGAAAGGTTTGAAAACATCCACAGTTTCAAACCCAGACACAAGATTTGCACTGTAAGACACCCAGTGGCATGACAATACAACAGTCCTTTGTAAAGAGCACAGAGAACATGACTCCCATGCCGACGACAGCTACCACACCAACCGCTGGGAAAAGTCATGGGACCAGCAACGCTTCTCAAGAAACCCAAAAGACGGAAACAACTGGAAACCTAACTGGACATCCAGATGCCATAAACCAACACATTCAAAAGCATTTAATGTGAGTAATTAACAACAAAACACACCTTGGCACCACTCAGTTAAGCACAGCACTGAGTACGCCTGAGAACAAGACAGTTTACCCTCCGAAGTCATGGAAAAACTTATGAGGCAAAAGATGAATCATGCTTATTATGATTAGTGATGGATCAAAAGACCAATGATCATCTGGTACACCTTCATACTAAAGATGACGACCACCTGTTCTACAACACAGAACAAAGGGGTCTCTCATAGCCAACCACTGACAAAAACATAAAGGTACCAGAAAACACCATCTTGGTTACCCATCACTCACCAAGAAACCACCAAATGAACTCCAAACTCAAGAACCATGTGTGTGCTACTGTAACCAAAGAGAGCACAGAAGGTCAGAAAGTCTGTCACAACCAAAAGGCATCACAAGGGGAATGCAACAACGGAGACAAAGTTTTGCACTACAGCTCCACGCATCCCTGCCAAACTAGCACCCAATGTCTCCCAACTTCCTGCCTTACTAGACTTACCCCCATCAGATCACGGACGATCCCTTGTTCAAGGCGAAGATGCAACAATCTTCATCTAAACCCATCAAAAATAAGCCAAGAAACATATGGGTCAAGCCTTCAAGAAAAGGGGGAAGAAAAACAGACTGAAATGGATCTGACCATACATACACACTATAATACACTACACTACTAACATACTCACTTAACATTCAGAAGTTAACCACATCTACCATGGAAAATACTCAACAAATATTTTCTTCCCACAGGTAGAAACTATCTTCAGAAACTAGCTTAACATCGACTTGTAACTATCCACCCAACAAGTAGAACACCACTCATTACGTTATGATAAATGACACCTTAGCTGCCATTTAATGACACCTTAGCTGCACATTTGATCACAAATTAAAGAGCTCTGTGTGCTGCTCTCACGTTTTCGTTAAATTGACATCAACGAGTTTCGTCAACAGTTCATGTTTAGATAATGCCAGATTGTTGACAAATTACACACTCCTCAAACATTCTAAAACTCTTGAACACTTCAATTAATTTTTTTTTTATGAAAAACCTTTAAATACATTAGCTACAATATTTATAATTTAATTAAGATAGGGCCTATTTGGACAAAGAGAGATTTATCCTGAAAGGAATTTTCCCTTTGCCTGTTCTGTATCATTAGGCTGGCTATCCAACACTCTCCATATGAAAGACGGGACATTACCACCTATAGGCTATTGTCCTGCACCCCCACGATAAAGCACTGAACCCTCCAAACCCCCCACAGGCTCTGAGAGGAGTGTCTGAGACAAAAAGAAGTCGCAGACATTAGCATTATTAAAGTGTTGATAATGAAGGTCTTAAATCATTTAGGCTACATGTAGTAATATTTCTGCCATAAAGTTTATTAACTAAACATTTCATTATTTCAATAGGCTAATTGATTAATTAAAACACTACTTCGGTTTAGGCCAGCTTTTTCCAAGCAAAACGAAATACAAACTTCAAACTCGTGTTCATTTGTGGTCATGAAAAAAATGTTCAACTCAATATTAAATTCCAGAGGGATCTTTCAGTCGGGGTGGATCTTTGGATCCTTAAAACCAGGGTGACGTGCAGACCTTAAAAATGCAATTTGTGAATTAAGCAAAGGGCGGTTATTTTTACCTAGGCTATTCAAATAAATCTCAAACCACAGTGGGTATTTCGAGCTGCTGTTAAACTAAATAACATTTATTTGCACATTCATAGAATAATTATGAACTTAAATGAAACAATATCGCAACATTTTCGACAAAGAAATTATGGATTACATATTTAGATAACATTCTTTAAATATTTGGACATTTAAAGCTTTAGACATATTTCTTATTGTGAATGAGCTGAGGCAAGTGGCTTTCGGTTCATTTTTGTGAATGAATGAATGAGGCATTTATATAGCGCTTTCATATGTACTACTGTACACCCAAAGCGCTTTACAATCATATCAGGGGGTCTCTCCTCAACCAGCACCAGTGTGCAGCATCCACTTGGATGATGCGACGGCAGCCACAGTACAACGGCGCCAGTGCGCTCACCACACACCAGCTTACGCTTGTGACGTGAAGTTTCCGAAGACAGAGACCACATACAACATTTTGTCGTTAGCCTATTGTGAGTGTACATGAATAAAAGTTTACAGTTTTGAATGATGTAGGCTACTCGTATCTGTAAGACCAAAAAATGGTGGAGTAGCCTATATTAAGTTGTTTTAGCTGTTATGAGAAAAATAAATCCAAATGAAAGCAGGGATATTTAGTCCAATGGAAATCCCCGTCCCCCCTGGCAAATCGCAAAAAAAACTTTTGTTGTTCTAAAAGTTTGTTCTATTTTTTTTTTTTTTTTTTTTTTTTACATATGTCAGTCTCATTCTTGTTGAAATAATGAAAAAAGTTTTTACACAAGACCTTCAACAACATTAACCAAGTTTTCTTTATTTAAGGCGAGAAACTACAGGTGAATAGGGTAATTTTTTTTAACTAGCAGATATCACCATGAATCTTTCCCAGTTGATTACCTACATTAAGATGAAAAAGAAAATGTATTACAAGTTTTCTGTAATTTAAAAACAGATCTAGAATAAAAAGACATCTCTTTAACCTGGCATACACATAACACATCATATTTATATAATTCAAATCCATTTAAGCCATTTAACCCTCTGGGGTCGGCTATCGCGCCGGCGCGACGAGCTCACTTTTTTCCTTATCAGTGCAAAAAGAGACTCAAATTACTCTGTTGATTTTGATCTTACATATAAGTGTTGTACATAATTAGATCCTGTTAAGTGTCTATTTTTTTTGTGGATACTCAAAATAAAAACAAAGTGTTCTGCTTTTTGTCAAATAAAGAAAAATAAACATGATGCGAATTTTGCCTTCTCTCTATCAGTGAAGTTCATTCTGAAACGCGTCCGAAAATGAACTGTAACTAAGTAAATCCTTGTCACACAGGCACGGAAGATTTTTCGTTATGAAGCTGAAATTCTCTTCTTTTAAATGAAGTAATTTGTATAAAAAACAAATATTCTCAGTTTATGTAATCTGTATGAAAAGAGAGAGATGTCAGTCTTTTTCCTTTCAGCTAATTATAGCGTATGACGTGCTAATGTGACCACGCCCACTGAGAGCGCACGCTATTCAAACGCAAATG